TTCGAGTACCCGTTCAGGTATTTAACTTAAGAAGAACCGCTCGATTCGGTTCGGTTCGATTCGGATTCGGGACATTTGGACACTCCTAAACTGAATAAACAAAATTGAACAAATTAAAAGTCCAATGACCAAAAGTGACAAGATGGAAGTTTGAGGACTAACGTTGAAGAAGACTGAAAGAATGATAAGCAAATTGAAATAATTCGATAAAGCTAGCGAATATGTGCCACCAAAAGGGCAAAAATAAATGCGAGCAAGGCATGACTCTTACGCGTGAGGTATTATTGGCGATTTGCAAGGTACAATGACAAAAAAAGAGAATCGGTGATGATCACGAGCACATTAGCATCCAATAGTCAATAGTGACAATTTCAGGTAATATCAGAAGTGTATAATATGTGAATAATAAGTGATAGTAATTGTGAATGTGTCGTTATGATTAAATTTGACTTTGATCGACTTATAATATTTTTCAAATATGTCATTGTAAGGCTCTATACAACACAACATATATTACCATTTAGAGACACAGAAATACATCTTTTTGGGAGAAATCAACGAGAAGACTCGAGCAATTATTGAAGATCCAATCCTCAAAGAAGTCTCGGTTTCTTGGGATTGAAGATAAAAATTAAAAAGATGTATTCCCTTACAATAAATAAACCGGTGATGTTTATGTCAACTTCTTCATGTTTTAATTCCTTCGATATTTTTTTTACTACCGGTAGGGTTATTCCTTCGATAAGGTTTGTTACGCTTCTGCCTATGTGACAGGCCACATGGTTGCCAACTAATTAAAATGCCACGCAATCATTTTTTCTCCATGGCAATGAGGACCACCTTCATTTTCTAGGCGTTGAGTGCGCAACCTAATGCATCATCAACACAACTTTAAAGGCGACATAACTTCGTACATGACGTGTCACTTTTCCTCTTCGAAGCACTCAGTTGGGACTCAACCCTTAGTCACATTAGATGGGCTTCCGAAGCCCGAGGCGGTTGGATCTGATCCCTAATGTCTTGTGCAAGCTGTAATTTAATAGGTTGAGTCACATACGATATGATTGATGCGCATCTCCATAAGGACGGTTGGGAGTCAAATCTTATCTTTTCCGTCTAGGACATTGTTTGTGAGGTTACAAACCTTTGATATTTATGTTGTGAAGCCATGGTATTTGCAACGATCCAAATTTTTAATATTTAAATCATTACCAAAAGTTTCATTTAAACTTTAAATAACTTGACATGCAATATGTATAAAATTATGTAACGGTAATTTACTCAAATTCATGAGAAAATTTTTATATATTCATTTATAAAAAGGAAAGAACAAAGATTTTCCTACGCCATATCTTTATCGTATACATTTGGAAAGATCAAATAAAATCAATCTACAATTTAAGAATTAGGGACATAATTCATCACGTGTATAATAATTACTGTATTATTTATAAATTTGAAGCATTACTATTTAGGGGACAATATCGTGCTACAAATAGTTAAATAATAACCAAGTCATAGCCCAATAAAAATATAGGTCAACGAGTGTTAAGTCATGAAAAATAACCAAATAACATAGGTTCCAAAATTCAAAACAAATGAATAGATTCATATAATCATGAAATTAAAGTTACTACTAGGAATAAAATTTCGGTCACGTTATTTTCGATTTACTTTATTGACTCCAAAGAATCTGGACACAACGACTGCACCTCATCGCCTGTCAATCAACGACCCGTTCTAACCTATGAGACGTAGGAAAAAATGGTGAGTATATGAGAATACGCAGTAGGACACAAGTTATTGTGCAATCCCGAATAATAGTAATAAATTATGCGTTAAAAATATTGTACTATCATATCATATCTTTAGAAACCGGTAATAGCTCATAATATATCATATCTTTAGTGCCGAATGATCATATCATATCATAAATTTCATTAGCATAACATTTATCAATATGAAAAAATAAATTAAACGAGAAAACCACTTACACCTCGTAGTCATACCTTAATCCTTTGAAAATCTTGATTACATGTTCCAAACCTTTTCTGAAATCGCTGCATTGAATAAAAGAATGTACGAGTACACTTGATAATAATAGTAAATGTATGAAATTGGCTTAAATTGGGTAAGCAAATAGTTTCCTATTGAAAGTGGGACGTGCAATTTCAATTCACCTAGTAAGATTTAGTGCACTTATAATTGAAATGCAATTCCCAGTTAAGTATAAAGATGGGATTATGTTTATATAACAAAATGCACGTGTCTTCAATCATTTGGAAACCAATAAACAAACTTAATTAATTTCTAATAAGTGGCCGGTAACTTCCTACTGCAACCTCTTGAATTTAACGTATTCGAATTAACTTTTTCTCAAGTCGAAAACTTCTAAAATTACCAATGTTTTGAAAATCAACCCGGTCATCGACCCGGAAAAGCTGAAGGGTCAAGGGTTAAGAGGTTCAACCGGGGTCGAACCGGATGCAATAAATACATACAAAAATAATAAAATACTATTAAAACAAGATTTTTTTTTTTTTTAATTTTCATATTAATAATTCAAAGTAAATCTATTTTTGTTAATTAGATTCATTATCCTACAATTAGTCTCGAT